TATGGTCCTGGTCCAAGACTACTAATGTGGTTAACTTCTACAAAATACCAAAGGCCATTGCCAACTCTAAGATATCACCAAAGGAACATTATGGTCCTGGTCCAAGACTACTAATGTGGTTAACTTCTACAAAATACCAAAGGCCATTGCCAACTCTAAGATAACATTATTTTGATAGAATGCCACCTCGGTGATAAAAACTGCCCATTGCCACCTCTAAGTAATCAGAATTCTTAAAATCTTCCCCATGCATCCATCATTGATGGTATACAAAAATGAGCCAGCTACTAACATGCTCAAGCACTTTCAATTGAAGTCCTCCAAACCCTAGCCGAGACAAAGCTTTAACCAAGCAAAAGTCTTTAGTACACAATACACCCTACTTTCAAACCGAAATCTATTTCAATTGTCCAATTTGAATATTTTTGACTTTAGTGAAGTAGACCAAGTTTTTGTGAGTCTCACTTTTTTGGATCGGTTTGGTCCTTAAATATTTCACAAACAATGCCTTGGTCCCTATCGTTAGTTAAGTGACGACATGTCAACAACACAATTGAACATGTCTGCAATTAGTAAAACACGGGTCACATGTCATCACTATGGACTAAAACCAAACATTTTGAACGTTTAAGCACCAAGACCAGTTAAACAAATTTAAAGGACTAAAACCATAACTCAGTAAACTTTTAGGGATAAAATTAAAATTAAAACTGATAAAAAATTGTAAAATGAGCAGTTGCACCCAGTCACCCTAGTTTTGCAATTGCTAATTAGAAGTAACATCTAATTATTTGGGCTCTGCTCTCATAAGCAGGCAACCTTGTTTATACATTTCTAATCTGAGTCCAATCTAAATGTACCAAATCTGAAAAGTTCATTAAAAACTGGGTTTGACTACAGCCCCGGGTTAAACACAAGAAAAGTGCAGAGGCTGGTGGACAGTTTTTTGAGCATGACAAGCAGATTACAAGAGCTAAAACTGGAATATACTAAAAATTTATTAATTAAGCTGAAAGAGAGAATAGGAAGAACCTGTCCTTTATTAGCTTCCTCCTCACCAACAACCGATATGTAGTTGTACTGTGCTAACTGAGCTTCTTGTACCTGCACAATACCATAACTTTTAGTAAACACAATTCTCTTTTATTGAGACATTAGATTTATGATAATGAAACCATAATAAATAAATAAATAAATGAACTATTCCATTGGCACTTAAATGACACTTTATGAATTCAGTATACAGAGATCTAAGCGCACAGCTTTTAACACCATGCCACCACATGAGTAAGATGCTAATAACACTAAATACACCCAGCTTAACTTATCTAAATTATAGGTTCTAAAGATTCTCTTTACCTTCTTCTGAATCTTCCTATCAGTTGTATATCAGAATCAACGTGATACCCTGCTTGATGGATCTGATCCCACACCTAAACAATTATTTAGAGCATGAGAGCATGTTATACAATTAATAAGCAGTGTGGTTTTATCATAATATAGTACAAGTATCCCAACCAAAATTAGAAGCAGAACCATGAAAAGTTGACCTACTGCACTACTCAAGGAACATCACTGAAGCTCTGACTAAGTTACATCTGGAAAAAGTATGCATAAAAACACGCGACAGACTCTGAACATAATTCAGAAACAAAGAATACAAAATTGATTCAATGACTTCAGTGAGATGTAATCGACAATGTAGTATCAGTTCCATGAAGTATAATGCATTAGTCCTTCAACTAGATACAGATTAAAAAAGACAGGCGTATGTTTGTAATATTACTTAATTTGTTTAGATATTCATTGATTTTAGCTTTAAACAGATTAGGAAACTTAGGTTGATTCTCCAACCCCTACCAATTGAGGGATTTAATTGTGTACTTTCAAATAGGTTGAGTAATATGTTTCAAGCAATTCAGCCAACTTTCAGTCTCAAGTTGAAAACAGATAAAAGAGAGAAAGTAAATTAGAGAATTCCCTGTATTTTCTATTAATGAATTGTTAAAATTTCAATGACAGGGCTAAATTTATAGGATAGCTTGCAACACACATATGCCAGCTTAGTCTATTCTAGCTAACACTAACAAGCCTTAGTTCTATTCTCTAATACACCTCCGGAAACTGAGGGTGCTTGACCAAGCTGAGAAAATCCTTTATAGCTCCTGAAATAGACTTCCTATCGTCTAGGACAGATTGCAAGTCAGCATCAGATAAAAGTTTGAAGTTGTAAGAGAGATTGAGTAGAGGCTAGTTAAAGAGAAAGTCAAAAGGTTATAGTACCCCGAAGATACCTTAAGATTCTCTTTACTGCAAACCAAAGAACTTCACAGGGTGGCCAAGAAACTGGCAAACATTGTTCACACTAAATGCCAAGTCAGCCTGATTATAGTCAGATACTGTAAAACACCAACAATGGACCTGTAAAAAGTTGGGCCCTCAAAATAGTATGTCCCTAGTTGCACCAATTTGAAATTACTTGCCATTGGTGAAGACAGGTTTAGCAGATTCCATATGAGCTCTTTCAAGGATACACCTTAGTAAGGGGTGAATTTCTAGGATAGCTAGCAACACACATGTGCTAGCTTAGACTATTCTAAATAACACTAACTACTCTTAGTTCTATTCTCTAACACAAGTGATGCCACAAATACATTCCTTACCAGAAAAAATGATATTATCATCCCTTCATTTAACAGCTGTAAGACAACTATACAATGGGGAAAGCCTAAAATTTAGAGATATTTACCTGTAGTGCGTAAGCTTGTGATTTCTCAGACACAGGGCACAGAATCGCTTGACGAGGACTGAGCCAGAAGGGCCATTTACCCTAATAGTGCTCTAAAAGTATGGCAAACATGCATTCAACAGATCTAAGAATGGCTCTGTGTATCATAACAGGCTTTTCAGTTTTGAGTTCATCCTCTGCTGAGAATCCCGACTTAAAATGTTCAGGAAGCTGGAAGTCAAGCTGCAAGCAACCACATTCAACTGACTACCAGGTAAAAAGTTATCCCAAACTGAATCAGGTGAACTCAAGCAAAGTTGAACACTGTATACCTGCAAAGTTGCACACTGGAATTTCCTATTCAAGACATCTGATACACTGGTGTCTATCTTTGGTCCAAGTGATGCCACAAATACATTCCTTACCAGAAAAAATGATATTATCATTCCTTCATTTAACATCCCTTCATTCAACTGCAAGGTTTTAATGAGAATTTAAGCACATACATATCAAACCGAACAAACTCACATTCCATAAAAAAATAGAACAGTTTGAGAACGTAAAAATGGGGGATGTGTTTGGGGCAAGCGGAATAAAAAATGTAGCCAGTAAATGAATTGAAAACATGACACGAATTAATTTACAGTATAGTTCAAGACAAACTCCACTTCTGGATGATCAAACAGAATTATAACCATACACATCAACGCTGACAAAAAAGAGGCATATAGAAGAGGATATAATTACCTGCCCAGGTTTTCCAAACTCATCTTAAGCTTCTCTAAGAGCATTTTCAGCCTTCTCCCAAGTTTCTGAACAATGGGGGCACGATTGTAGTATACTTTCTCTATCAAAACAAATAAGCAGACAATAAAGTGAAAATTATAATTTGTTTACCACAGGCAACTGAGAGAATCAATGGGAATTCATAATAAAATTCATGGTACATAGGCAAAAGCAATTAAGATACTATTAAGAAGAGGCTTTGAAAATGGAGTTTTCAGAAACAATAAAAAAGGCATATTGGCATACAATAAAGAGCAATAGCATACCGTTGAAAGCTTAAGTTCGTAGGTGAAACCAAATATGTCATAAACATAATTGATGAAATTCAAGGCATTTCTCATTTCACCCTTTATCTGTACAATAAATCAAATCAATGGTTTCAATTTAAGCTCAAAAGAGAGCTTAAAAATTCAAGTTGCATAAATTTTAAGTTTAACTTACCTGGGACTCCCTGCAGAAAATATGTGCATCATCCTGTGCAACATTTGAAGGAAATGATCTTATAATATAGTACTAATAACAGTATAGGAAAAAATGAAGACAAAAGTGATGAACTATATATGTTCAATGCCTCACAATGTTCCCCTTGTTGTAATTCTACTATGTTTTAGAGAAATGAAAAAAATTTCTCCATTGAGGACATGTTTTTATCGTTTTAGCTTCCCGTTAAAGAATCACAATCGTTTTACCTTTAGATGAGCAGGCAATTTTCATGAGTTTATGGGATTTTCAACAACAATCCTAGGTCACTGGTTTGTTAAAAAAACTAAAATTTCCAACTCCAGGACCAAGCAACAGTTTTCTGACATTAATGAGACTCAAACATTTAATTCAAATTCCTTAATCCCCAGTTTGTTTCAAAAACTAAAATTTTCAGCTCAGGACCATGTAACAGGTTTTCTGCAATTAATGAGACTCCAGCATTTAACTCAAGTTCCCGGAAGAGATTTTTCATGGCTGCTCTTTGTATTTATTGTGTGCATGCCTATAAAACTGAAAGAATACTACTGTAGAGCATAATGATAAACACCTACCTCAGTGTTCCATAACAAAATATGAATGTGATAGCGTGTTTGATAACCACAACCAGCAAAAAAAAATTGGAAGCATAATAAATTGAAGAAAAAAAATGCCATATCCCCTTTTGCCCTATATTCATTTTGTTGTCCCAGTGTGCTTGGCATGGGGGAAAGGTTTACCTGCTGAAATCTCCTAACACGTGTTAATCCACTCAGAGCACCACTAGCCTCATTCCGATGCAAAACCCCAAAATCAGCAAATTGAAGAGGAAGTTCTGTCAAACCATTTAAAAAGGAGATGATATTCAATATAAAAAAACTCAGCTAAACCAAATTCAGTTCCTCTCTCTATATTATATGCATTCAAATCCATGAAGCATATGCATAAAAAAACCAAGATATTTTATTTCACTTTTAAAATGGAAAAGAAATTAAGTCCATCTCTCACGAGTTCTATTTCTCTTTTTTAACAAATATCAGGTTGAAAAAATCTTGCACTGTATATCAATATGATTATATAAAAATAAAACAAACTCTAGATAACCCCCTTCCCCAGGAGCAAAAGAATACGGAGGGAAGTTGGGAACAGATGGGCCACACAAAATGAGACTGAGCAGTGAGCTTATTTCAGTATACAGGCAGGTTCACTTAGCAATCAATCCATTAACTAGCAGCTCAAACATCTACATCACTGCATCGTCCTGATTTCAACACTAAAATCTGAACTAGCCCAGCCAACACAAGTAGAAATATAAAAGTAATCTGAAGGCATAAATAACATGTGAATGAATATTACCTCTATATGAGCGAACTCTATGTTTAAACATCAAGCAGTGGCCTGGGCAATTCATTGGTTTCAGCCCAAACTCTTGTTTTTCAATCTAGTAAATAAAAAACAAATGCTTCACAGTTCACTACAAAAAAAAAACATGATATTTTCAGGGTATAGATGCACAACATTAAAGATCAAAACAATGGAAGAAAAAAGGACAAAGGTTTTACAAATGATCTAAAACTAAATCAACCCAGACATTAAAAGATACGAAGCACAGGCACCTCTGTTTATTGATTCAGACACATTCCGGACACTGACACCTATAGTCCTACACAACATGTGTCTGAAAACCCTCACCAGTGTTGTTGATGGCGGCCCATGTCTTTTGCAAAAATTACACCATCACGGCGTTGTGGGCAAATAGCAGACGTTATAATGGCGGTTGACAAAAAATAATTAAAAATATAATACTAGAAAAACATAGTAACTTTGTTATTCATATAGATAAATGTTTATATAAATTTATGTATATTTATATGCACATATACCCTCACCAAGGGTCCAATTAAAAAAAGATAGAGTCTTGTATAGGAATCTTCAATGACAAGGTCAATAGAAATCTTTCAAAAAAAATTAGTAACTTTAAGAAAGTCAAGAAGGGGAGAAAGGTATCAACCATAGCTTTTCTTAAATTTTTGGTTGCACGTTAATAGACTACCGGTGAAGGATAAGGCCTCTAAAGTTGTGAAATATATAGATTGAGACACAATTTGTTGTTGCCCAGTTTCTTTTCACCTTTTTTTTGCTCTCAATTTCTATTACCCCTTCACTTGGACCTCTCTTTTTATTTTTTTTACGAATTTGACTTTCTATTGAAGTAGAACAAGGACTGATTTTCAGATCTCGATATTTTTCAGATCTCAATGCACTTTAGCTAATCAACAGTGACACACCTTTATTGGTTCACTTTATTATACTCAAGCTCTCTTTAGGTGAGGTTTTCAATAGGTGAAAAATAGTGATGTCTCATTTTTTATAGTTAGAATCACTACCATATAATGATGCACCTACACATCTTCATGGACGGTTTTCAAACTACAGACCAAAAACTAATTATCGAGAGTTTGGATTATACTCTACTACATGTGTTCTCTTTGGAATAAATAAATTAATAAAGCATATGGATTTTTGGAACTAAAATTAATATCTTTATATAACGTACATGATCTTGTAATCTTGTAGATACTTTATAGTAGATACTAAAGTAAATAGGGATACCTAACAATACAAATATGATTCATCTAGAAAGTTAAATTGATATACCCTCAAACCCACACTCTTTCACAAACATACACACATATGTAAACGCGATCAAAATCATTAAATGAAGATAATAAAAATACCTCTAAGATAAACATATCCTCTCTGTAATTTGCAGCATGGCCAGATTGCACCCAAAGATCCATGTTAAACACATTTGGAGATATGACCCGATGATATAAAAGTAAATAAGTACTTGGAAAAGAATATTTCTATCACTAAAGAAAACCCCAAGAGTAAAAGTTAACCTCTTGATAACCCCGATCTCTATACTGATTTCGTATGAAATCCATCAGTTTGTTGTAAATCCGTGCACCATGGGTTAGAAAAAACCAGCTTCCTGGATTGCAATAAACAAAGACAAACCAAGATAGGTCAGTCAGAGAATCTTACAAAAAGCTTCCATCTGACAACATTAAGCCCACAATACCTCCATTCATGATGATAAATGAGCTCCTGTTTCACACCCAAAATCCTGTGGTCATACTTTTTAGCCTCCTCCAGCTGGAGCAAGTATTCCTAAACAGGTAAAAAAATCATATGGAAATTAACATCAAAATTGATATACAATTGGCCCAAGATTGGCCCAACTTTGATACACCGTCCAAGCAGTAACTAATGGAACTTGCTGGAATTGTAGAATCATCGAGGTACATTGATTTTTTTGCAACATCCATCTAGAAATACTAGAAACTTAGATATTTGTTTTCAAAACCCACTCTAGAACTATCCTTCAGCTTCAAGTGGAAAAATACACCTTTGTATCAAGCATATAGCATCCAGTTAAATAAACAATTCATTCTCATACTAAGAGTTCAATCCATCTTGTGTTTTCAAATTTTCCTCTTCTAGTTTCTGAGCCATGCCCATACAATGTACACCATAGGTCACGGATGTCACTCCTACTTTATTCTCTACACAGATTCATTAACCACCACATGGAAATTTGTCTAATGTCTCTCTAATAAATAAAACAATATTTACTATGTTCACAAAAGTAAATAGAGAACTTCTAGCAGTTGCTCATATTAATAACAGAGTAAAGGACAATACAGTGCATAAGGCTCCCACTTAGTGGGGTCCGAGGAGGGTAGATGTACACAATCTTACCTCCGCAAGAGGAGAGAATGTTTCCAGGATTAGTCGCGTAGCGTGGAGCAAAGATTTGAAAATTGGAACATATTATATGATATATATATTTATATTTCAAAATAAATTACAGCCATAGTGCATAGAGCAGCGATATCCATGCGTTATTTCAAAAACATCATTCAATGCATGCAACATAGCATAGAAGAGCAACGATAAATGGTGTAGCACACTATCAACTATGAGTTTGTTATTTCAAAAACATCATTCAATGCATGCAACATAGCATAGAAGAGCAACGATAAATGGTGTAGCACACTATCAACTATGAGTTTGTTATTTACTTATTCAACATTCAGTCCAACACAGCGCAGTTTGCATAGCTGTAGGTTTTACCGAAAGAAGTAACTTAACATGGAATGAAAATCACCTTTAAACTCTTCTGGTCGGGATAAGATATGCCATTCTTTGTAAACTTTCACGATTCTTGTCCACCTTCCAATATGCTGATGAAGCCTGAAATTTAAAAAACAAATATCCATTGTACTTGCCAGTTGCCATTGGTACAGGTGTATGGGTAAATCAAACTTCATTAAAAATAGATTCATGAGAGAAGTCAAACACATACCTTCAAACATGCCATTGCTTTGACAAAGGATGTATTAGGTATATGTGGTCCACGGCACAAATCAACCAGGGGACACATCTGTATACTGTGATGGTCTTGTCAGCAGGTAAATCATTGATAATTTCAATCTGATCAAAATAGTCATATAACCAAAGCAGTGAGTTTTAATATAACAAATCTTAGAGGAATGTAAATTAAAAATATGATTCGGACAGTGTGATTATCTGATAGAAAAGAAAATATTTCCTTATAGGCGATGCCATAAAACAAACAGAAATACTTGCCGTAAACTTGTTACCAGAAAAAATCTCAAGTGCGTGATCGCATGTTACTTCAATGCGCTCAAAGGGCTGTTTTTCCTGGAAGTGTGATATTGGAGATGTGTTGCTTATCATAAGTCATAACAGTGAATCATAACACATGAAATACAAAAGCTTGCAATATAATATTGGCTACAAAGAGTTTTGGACAAGAGAAAGTGCTAGGAAAATAAAAACAACCTTGATTGTGTAAGTAATGATTAGAAAATGGAACTAATTTCATTTGAATTGATTCGAAAATGATTGCTTCTGTTTGGTGCTCATTAATGCATTGTATTGTTTTACATGTTTACCCTTAAAATATTATCTCCCATGGTTTTTGGTAATGTTAGTAGCTATTAGGCATGAGGGGTAAAATAGAAAAAGGTCAGCAGAGGTAAAAGAATACCATTTTAAATTAAATTAAAATTAACTCCTAAAAAATCTCAGTTTTTAAATGTAAACCATTGAAATCCACGGTGTTTTAAATTCAAACCATTTGTATTTTTCAACACTTCAAATTCAAGATTTGATTAACAGATCAAATATGATTCTTTTTTTTTCAACATTCCAAACTCCCGCTATGTGAACATTAAGCTTCAGGTTTGAGAAGTATTTTGCCAAGTAGTTCCGCTATGAAATAAGTAGTCTTTATAACTCATGGCTTCGAGGACAAAACTAATATCATCACCAGACATAATTCCAAACTTCTAATTCTAATTCCAATAGCAATAGGAGCACTAGAAGCTGTAAGAATAACAGCAGGCATAGCAGACATATATACAAGAGAACGAAAGAATACCCCAACAGCTTCCAAAGGCTTTTTCTCAATTTGCTTAAAGTGTTCATCATTCAGACCCAAGTCTCCATAAAACGCATCATAATAGAATCCCTGTAGAAGCAAACAGTTACTCTCTCATTCTCATTTCATACATATCCTTAACACAAAAAACTACAAATTCACAATGCAATAAAAAATAATAGTCAATAACAAGATACCTCTCCTCTTGTGGTACAGGGTCCAATGCATAGCTTGCAATCTTGCATCCATATTCTTCTTCCAAAGCCTGCAACACAACCAAACAATCAGAATAATTAGATCAAAATTCATTAATCATTATTGCAGCTTCAATTTAAAATCATGATTATTATAATTTGGAAAGAAAGTAAAGATTGACTATGAAATTAACCTGGCCGAGAATGTGAGCGCTGGAATGCCAGAAAGTATCACGGCCTTCGTCGTCATCGAACTTATATATCCGAAGCTCGGAATCTTCCTCAAGAAGACGAGCCATATCCCAAAGAACACCATTGACCCTTGCGATGAGAGCATTGTTAGCAAGATTCTTGGAGATTTCGCGAGGGAGAGGATTTTTTGTTCGCTGCTGAAGGTGGATTTCATCGAAGAGCTTGATACGCTTTGGGATAGCGGCGCTTAGGTACGCCTCGTCTTTCGGATGACAACCATTGCGGTGGCGGAGACGGTGGTGGAGGAGGAGAAACGGTTACTGAGGGAGAAGAGTGTGAGAGAGTCGTTGAATGGAAGAACTATAACCTCGTCTTTCTTTTTATATGCACGGCAGACTATTTTTCACTACATGATCAATAACACATGTTACTCGTACATTCAAACATGATTAAAAATATACATATTACTTATACATTTACATGGTTAAAAATATGTTACATCTGCATTCCTAGCGTTAAGAACAAACATGTGACTCATATAAAAATACAATCTATAATTTACATTACAAGTCATTATATAATGATAAAGTTGCTCTTGAAAAAAGTGTCAAGCATATGATATTCCTTTTAATTACTATTTCCTCTTTGTTATTATGTTCGTCTATGAATTTTGGACGGTAAAAAATGAATGTGGTTGTGACACATGTGAAAATGAATATTGATGAACAATGAGTATGAGTGTATTTTTATTTTGTGTGAGAAGTCGTATAAAGTAATGTGTCTTTATCATGTGTGAGAGGTTGTTCTTAACCATACTTTTTTGTTGTATGGTTAATAACACATATTACCCGTACATTCATATTTGACAGATTGATTTTAATATATATTTGAAATCACGTAATTATCAATCTTATTAAAGATATATATTAGTAACATTGTATAATAATTTGATAAAATAAAATGAAATATATAGATAATCATTGATAAGTTTTATACAATATTCAAAGTCGTTATGAAAAATAATTGATATTACGATAGGCTGAATTTATTAACATTTCCATTCATTTGAAACCAAAATAAATTGAAAAATGGAGAATATGAAATCAGTGATAAGGAGATAGCATGAGTAAAACCAAAAGAAATGAATGTTTGAAAAACAAAGATCAAATGAAGTGAAATCAAAAGTTTAAAATAAATGAATTTTGTATTTGTCAAATGATTCAGCGTATGCATGTCCATGGTAGATGATGGATGTGTCC